ACACAGGGCTGCTCCAGCACCTCTGAATGTAGCCAGAGCCCCATCTCAGGCTTGTACCTGTAGATGCTTTATGCAAAATGGCCAGACACAATGTTGGCGTAGACTGAGGTGCATTTGGTATGTTTAGGGTTTCTTTTTCTAATTTAAAAAATGCACAGTTCTCCTGTTTTCTGCTATTCTGTAATCCCTTAAGTGATGGAGGCTTTGATTTCCGTGTTCTGCACACTCCCATGGCACATGACTTTTGAGTTGTTTTTTTTTTTTTTTTTTTCCTGATTTTTTTTGATATCACAGACTTCCTTAAGTCATGATTACAAACTTGTTTTCCCTTTAGGGAAATGGCCACTACCTTTGCTCGGCTCTGTCAGCAGGTGGATATTACCCAGAAAAACCTGGAAGAAGAAATTGCTAGGCTTTCCAAAGAAATAGATCAGCTGGAGAGCATACAGAGCAACTCCAAGCAGCTGAGGTAAGTCTGGTGTGACTGGCCACAAGCATCTCTTAGCCCTGCTGCCTCCAGAGAGATCTGTGCCAGCTGTTCCTCTGGAGCTGAACTAGGCTGGCTCTGGTGCAGGAGGCTGTCCAGGGATACCCTGAGCACCTCTGGGTAAGTTAAATAAATGTTTGCTGCTGTCCTGGTGAACCGGCAAAGCTCCAAAAATACTCTTCCTTTGATCATCTTTACCCATGTCTCTCTTCAGTGTATTGGAGAGGCCTTTCTCCAGAATTTTGGTCTCCTGTAGGCAGCTGAGGGGCCCCCTCCCCACGGCAGAGCAGGGGAGCAGCTGTGCTGAGTCACTCGGTGCAGTACTGGTGTTCTAGTGCCAGCAGTAGGTGTTTGCAGAGGAGAAACTTCCAGCAGTTGGTGCTTGAGGGGCTTGAAAGCAGCCTCAGCCACAGTTTCCTGTTCTTTTCCCCTGCTGTAAGGCTGCCCTGGCTCTGGGGCTGCTGCCTCCTGGCCTTGGGCACCCACCACCACTGAGGGGTGAATGTCTGGCACCCCCCACACCCCTTCTAAAAACCTGCATTTAGGTTGTCTTAGTGCTGTGGGTCTCAGTGGAGGAATAGAAATGAAACACTGATGTAGATCGTGCTTTGGGACGTTCCTGCACTGAAGCAAATCCCTTGCTTTTGTTTTGCAGAAATAAAGCCATTCACCTTGAGAATGAACTAGATCGCTTCACAAAACACTTCCTTCAAAAGAGTAAATAAAAAATGTCCTTGCGAACCTTCCCGGTGATCCTTTGTAGGGCAAAGTAGGAATTTTACAGGTGACACTTCTCCTCTGTGGAGCCACATGAAATGATTTGTATTTTAAATGTTAATCTGATTACACTTATTGTAAAACTTGGGCTGTGAGGGTGAACTAGACTGAAGAGCTGCGCTACTCCAAGTGTTACATTTGTTTTGCAGATTTTGGGTTAAAAATTACCTTTAAACACTAAATTTCTTTGGGCACTTGACAATAAAAACCCAAATCCTCACTGGTTTTCATTAGTATGTAGCAGTGGCAAGTCTCACTTCCTGGCATCCAGGAGCTTATGCAGGGCGAGAGCTTATCCCAGTCATCACTGTCTCCTTTCGGCTGCTTAGGAATGAGCCAGGGATGGAGGGTGCTGTTATTCCATGTGGGTGTGATTTTGTTAAGTGAAGGGAAGTACAAACTCTGGAATGGGGAAAGGACTCCTGACTTGTTTGGAAAGCAGGTGCCAGTGTGCTGGGCAGCAGTTCCTCTTTCTCAAAGGGCAATGAAAGATGGCAGCGGATACAGAGGGTCATCTGGCCACTGCACTTACCCAAGAGGGTTAGTAGGTAAAAACAAACATTTTCTCGCAGTTTTAGAGCAGTGAAATGGCCCTTTGCCTTTGAGGGCTGGGCTGGAACCACGCTGAGCTGAGCAGGAGGGTTTGCTTAGATGGTCTGGACTAGATTGGTGCAGGTTGGGTGGGGAAGCTCAGGGTGTCAGGACTGACCTGGAGCTCCTGCTGCTGGACTCGGGGAGTGCAGGAGAGATGGGGTTTGACCATGTCCTGACCTTGGTTCTGCCCTAGGTAAGACTCCAGGCAGGTGGAGTCCTTTCTCTTTGCTCACCTCCAGAAATGAAAAGCCTCTTTTTAAAAAAAGGAAAAGTTTCTGCTGTTGCCACCTGCAGTCATTCAACACCTACTTTTTTCTAACTAGACTTTTTAAAATTAACTTATTTTAAAAGAAAAACCCTTTTCAGAGTATTTATGTATTTTTATGGCATTTAGTTAACATGACTAAATGAAATACTCGGCTCCAAGGTGTTGCTATTTTCCATTAACTAAGGGCTATCTTACCAGGAAGTGGATGTAAGATATAATGCCAGAGGATTAAGGGAAGACAGACAACGGTTCCACCACTGTGTTGGGGTGTTTGTTCCTGTGTTTGGTCTTGGGGCTTTGAGGGAAACTCTGAAATCCAACTGTGAGTAACAGCCTGGCCTTGGTGTCGGGGAGGGCACAGCTGTGTATCAGTGCTCTGTTTCTGGAGCATTTTTATTGACATTGTATCGAGATAAAACTTTCCGTGCACGTGTTCTACAGTTATTTATTAAAAAAAAGTACCACCCCTGTGCTCTATTAAGTTCTTTGGCAGCTCTGTCCAAGGCGAAGACCTGCACCTCACTCCCACAGGGAATGCAGATCCAGGGTAGGGCCCAACTGCTGAGGTTGCTCCATCTCCCATCCCATTTGCGTTCCCCAGGGAATGCTCTAATACAACACTCACACGTGACCCCGGATGGTTAAAAGCACTTGTTTATTGGTTACAATATCAACTCATGGCAACATCTTTCACTGAGCCACTGTACAAATACAAAGAAAAAGATCCATCCTGGAAAAAAAAGCTATGAACAGAGTTCATAGCAAGTGATTTTTTTGTCACAGGGAAGTCTTTTTACAACAGCACTGTTAAAGAACAAATGGCACAAGTCCCTGGTTTTTTTAATAGCTTAAATAAAAGCTTTAAGACTGTTTCTGAATACATACACAATCCAAAGGCAGTGCAGAATCACTTCATAATTGGTAACATTACCAAAGTTTTCCAAAGTAGTCAGCAACAAGTAAAAACAAAACAAAAAAAGCTGATGAGAGATCCTGGGAACTAAAGGCAAAGTAAAATCAAGCATGTTTAGAAGCATTTTGCTTTGGACTCCTTTGGATGTAATATGTACTACAAGTGTTCAGATGCTTTTATTTAAAAAACAAAAAAAAAAAAAAAAGGAGAAAAACACAAAGAGAGCACCATTGTGTAAGTAAAACAAAGGCTTGAAATATCTAAGACTATTCCACCGAAGTCCATATTAGTTAAAACCTAAACATACTGTGTGGTATAAGAATGTCAGGCACATGTAATCTGTTATCAGTTATATCAATTAGTAACACTGTTCACACATTTACCATAACAACACTGCATTAACATTCTGCATGTATTTTACATAACCAGCAATTGGATAAAAGGCTCTGGTGCCTCTGAAGTGTAGGAGGAGTGTGACCAGCATGCATGCCAGAGTACTGGATACACAGTGCACCATCAACCCATGCTAAGTACTTGTACAGGAAATGCTATCTCAAAACCAGCCATTCTGCTACACAACCATTGATACCAACTAGTCCAATTAGCCAATACTCTCACCAACATCTTAAAGCACAGCACTAAACCTAGTGGAGGTGACAGCGTCCTCAGAGAGGACAGACTACAACTCTTGGAATGTTTTCACAATGTTTTCATTCCACCTTAAAGTAATTAATGTGAACTTCATCGTGGGACGAGCGGTTACACAACTGAAGTAAAGAGTTAACTATTTCCAACCCATGCATTACATAAGGACACGCTGGGACCTGCTGCTGCACCAGCTCAGCTTTACCAAGGCGAGGTCAGGCCCTGTCCACAGGCAGGGAAAAGCCTCTTTATTCTCTGTTCCATTTCCACCCGTACAAATCTCGTCAGTACGCTGAGCTGCCCCCTCTCTGCAGTGAGAGGGTGGTGACGTTTGGAAGGAAAAGGTCTGGATACAGATGGGAAGAGGCCACATGACTGGATCACGGAGTGCACATCAGCACGGCACTGCAGCAGCTTTGTCCAGTGAACAGACACGCCTGAGTCAACACGGGAACAAGCCCAGGCTGGGCACTCGCCCTAAGGGAGAGCTCTCTATTGCAAAGTTCTATCTCGTTAGAAAACACTGACAAACTACCTGAATAAAACAAATGGTTACACCAAGCACGTGGTTCCACTTCCCACGCCATGACCTTCAGAGGAGAGGCTGGGCAAGAGCAACCCAGCCCTATTTGGCACAATGCTCCTGGCTACTCCAGCTCTTAATGACACAATTTACTTGAAATTCAGCTAAGAATGGAGTTTGGCAACAAACTTTGAAATAAATCCAGGGAAGATGTGCCCACTAGAGCTGCCAGACCTGCTGTGAGTGAGTTTGCTGTCATGGTGCAGTCAGGAGTCACAGGAGCTGCACACTCGAGCCCATGGTAACTGTGGGCACACACCAATGTCTTTGAGATTCAAAGCTGGGTAAAACCTTTCAAGTAAAGCCTACAAAGGGTCATTTTATTAACCTTCCTTGTATTAGGAGGAGTTTGAGCTTTTACCACTGAAGCCACATCCACCATTTCAGCAGGAGCATCGACCTTGAAAGGTCAGGCAGCCGTTTAACAGGAATGCCTGTGCGAGTCACCAAATGGCCTCACACAGCACCTGTGGTACTTAAATCTGTAGGCTTGAAAAATAACCCAGGGCAGGAATGAAACAGCAAACGTCACCTGGGCAGGATCTATCCCGGGCTTTCTCCAAGTTCCCAAGACGCACCGGGCGCTGTTTCCCCCGATGTGTTCGGGCTTCTCCAGCGTCTCCTCACGCGCCGACACAGGAGCCCCCCGGACCTGGGGAACTTCAGACCCAGAGTGACCAAGGAGCAGAGGCAGGCAGGGCTCTGTGATGCCTTTGGACACCTCAGCAAGCAGTTGGCATTCCTCAGTATTTATTCTAAAAGCAGCTGAATCCAACAGACAACAGCCATCCAACAATGACAGTGAAGTTATTTGCAGCAATAACCTTACAAGAGCCATTACCACGGTTACAGGATACCTGAACTGGTAAGAAAAGTTATATACAGCTGTAAAATTGGTTTTGGAGTTTCACAAGTAGAAACCAGTTTTAATACCAGAATGTAAAAATGGCACCTGTCTTGGCAAAGGTGTTGACTAGGAAATTGGTTCAAAACACACTTCTATGGAAAAAAAGTATTTTAGAAAAAGAATATTTTCTTAAAATTCTTCAGTAACAAATTTCCAGAATGATTCACTCAAGGCAGCTGTGAGTTAAAAAAAAAATAAAAATAATCGAGTGCAGCACTAAAAAATAAACAGAGTCTGCAAGATCCCAAAGAGCTGCTCACTTAAGAGAGTTACAAGAATTCCACAATAGTTCTGTTAATGCAGACAGATCATAAAGCAAAACGCTGAGGAATTCCTGTGAGACACAATACAGTGGGATTTTGGTCCTACACCACAAGGCTGCTGTTAGGAAATGTTCCTTCTACAGCACAAGAGGTGCCTTTTTCTTATTTTAAAAGTGAATTTACTGTGATTGATTGGTACATTTATTGGCACCTTCACCATTATAGACATGGCAAGTTTACAGGCACAGTTTGGAAGTACTGAAATTTAGGATTAAAAATGTCAGGAACTTGACAAATAGTCATCTCAGCCAGAAATCCAGTTGGATATATTACAGGATTCTGGGCCCTTATCTTGCCCACCTGACCCAGAGACATCCAGACTCCCCCCATCAGTTCCGAGGAGGGATGACTAATATCATCTTCCAACCTGGTGATTTAAAATTCACGTTGTTTTTAAAGTAAGTCATTTAAGAGAAGCCAATAGACATAACCCCCTTTCAGAAAAAAGCCACAGACATTGAGATTCCCAAAGGAACATCCACTGCAAGTTCAGACAGGCTGCCAGGCACCAAAAAGTTAAGCAACCTCCCCAAGCAGTTTCAAATGGGCATCAGTCACCTGATTTCCCTCTCTCTACACTCAACTGCACCTCATCACATTTATAAGCAACTGACATCCAAATAAGAATAAAATCGGGAGAGGAGAGGAAAGGGCTATTTATTTACAGTGCTGGAGCTGCACAACAACTGGCACCCAGAAACCTCCTGGCACAGCCCTCAGTGACCACAGTTAGCACTGCCAAGGTTATCGTAGGAAGTTCTCAGGGGTCACAGAGGAGCATTTCAGTTACACAATTCCTTTGATAATTCACTGCACAGAACTGACAACAAGCACTTTTGGCTGGGCTGTGCTTTGGCAACCCCCGAATCTGGAGGGGGATTACAGGCGATTAACTGCACAGTTAAATCCTCTTTAGGAATTTAAGCAAAGTCCTCCTGAATTTCTCAGCTGCTGTGGAACGGAGCAGGCCCTGCAGAGACACACTCCAAGCAGCAGCTGAATCCCTGTCAGTGCAGATCAGCTGGAGCCTGAGATGGGCCAAACCCACCCGATCAGCCAGAGCTGAGCACTCGACACTGCACAGCAGCAGTGACCCCTTGGCTTCTGCACCCACGGACTGCGTGGAATAACTGATGCAAAAAGCTGCAGGAAGGAAGCTAAAACTTCGGGAACTGGAATTATTTTATTTTCAAATTAATTCTGCTGTTGTTGCCAAGCCTGCCTGGCATTAACTCCTTGGTGTTTGGAGGCCATGACTGCCAATGGATGAACCAGGAACCACTGGCTTGAAGGAAGAGCCCCCCTGATTAAAAATAGGCAAGCAGGTCAAGAAGTGAGTGAATAAGGCGGTAGGTATTAACTGGGAGTCTCCAGGGCCTTTAAAAAAAAAAACAAAACCAAATGCCTTCCATTATAAAAAACACATACATACCATTGGCTTCACTTTATCTACAGTAAATTCACAAAAAACATTGAAAACAGCAATCTAGTTCACCCACTACAAAACTCAGAAGTGACATCTCAGGTTAAAAGCAAAGCTATAAATGTAGTTCCTTAAAAAATGCAAACATATTTCTTTACATACAGACAAATGTTACATGATTGGCTGCTATAATGTGTATATTCTGTTATGTACAAAAAAAAAGTACAGGATTAGCAGACTGAGCACAAGCAAAAACCCTTCAAGGACAATCTAACCAAACCACCAAAAACAAAAAGACTGGCTCTTAGTTTGTCGGTCACCATGATTATGTGTGCTGGCCCCTTTTAAAAAGTCAGTGATTTCTTCCCCCCTCCCCTATTTCTTCACTTGATTTTTTTTTTCTAGTTTACAGAAAGCCTTTTTGTGTAATAATCAGTGAATAGAAAAACTTCACCTGCAAATACAAGGTAGAAATGTTATTTCACAGCTATAGGCTGCAGCATTGATCTCTCCAGATCTCAAATGGAGAATGTACATGTTTGGCTCCCAGTTAATTCCAGATTCTGAGAAAACTGTCCCAAGACCCTGTAGCTACAGCCATGCCGTCATCAGTGACACCTAAACAGCTGACACGGTTGTCATGGCCAGCCAGGACACCTGGAAAAGAAGAAGCAATGGAAGTTAGTGACTGCAGGGTGTCAAGGACTGCAGCTGTTACTCTGCTCTCCCAGGCAAGTCTTAAATTTACTAAAAAACGGTTGTAATGCAGGATTTTAATTGCCTTTTTTGTCTTTACTCTGAAGAACCACATAGAACACAAGAAACTCAACAGTAAGGTTTTTAAAACCACGTACACTCAGTATCACCTCCGTTTTTGTCTCTGCCCTCACAGTGTCTCCTTCCTGCCCCAAAGATGTCCTCATCCCTAAGCAGGTTGTCTGTCCCATTTTCAGCAATGCTGTTCACAATTTCAGCCATCAAGTACTTCCAAAATCAAATGTGATGTCTCCTGACAATGTCCTGGACACAGGAACCACGCTGGGTTTCCCAAGTTTTTCAAACCCTTGGGATCACAAATCCCCCATGGATCATGTCAGACTATCAGAAGAGGAGCACTATCCTGCCTTTTCCAGCTTTGCTTTTGCTTTCCCTCTGCCTGTTCTTTCCCTTGTCTGCTCTGCCAAGGTTCCACATCCAGGTCTATCAGAACTCAGTTGCCCACGTGTCCCTTAAGGAAAAGGATCTATTTTCAGTCTGAAAAGCAGAACTGATGTTCAGAACTGAACCAGGCCCCTGCACTGAAGTTCCTGTAAGAAGCAAAAGAAATAGCTGTGCTATAAGCACGCTGTGTCCTGACAGAAGTGACTAATTCAAGGACCAGAAGAGTCCACTTCACTTCTCTCCCAACAGGAGGAAACGATGGTCCCCACAGCAAAAAGCCTCCTGTAACTACATCAGCATTACTGCCTCTGGATGGGTGCAGAAGTCAATGCAAATGTGTAATTTCGTATTACTTCAGTGAAATGCATTTTCTGCAGATGTAACATCATTTTGGAGGCTGTTCCTCAGCCCCAAGAGCTGGGATCTCCCAGCACAGAGATCTGTAATGGCTCATGCCCAAAACCAGGCCTGTTCCACTGACTGCAGCATTTACTGCAGCACACACCAGAGATGGAACTGAAGTGCAGTGTAACCACTGGAACACAGAACCAAACACAATAAAGGGGTGCCATTCCAAAAGAACAGCGTTAAGAAGGAAGCAGGGAGAGATTCCCTAACACCACTGGCAGTGAACTGGCTCTGCATTCTGCACAGAGTGCGAACATGCCCTGGGACAGCTCCTGCACTTGTGTGTCCTCACCTGCCCTCTCCCCTTTCAGGGTGTCCCACACGTTGCAGTTGAAGTCGTCGTAACCCGCGAGCAGGAGGCGCCCGCTCTTGGAGAAGGCGACAGAGGTGATCCCACAGATGATGTTGTCGTGGGAATACATCATCAGCTCCTGGTCTGCACGGAGGTCGAAGAGCCGGCAAGTGGCATCATCAGATCCAGTGGCAAATGCATGTCCATTAGGGAAAAACTGGAAGTTTTAATTAAGAGACAAGAGTTTGACACCTGAAGAATACATTGATCATGCAGCAGTTTAAGAACATCACGGGACTATTTTGCCAGTGTGACCAGAGGAAGACAGAATGGTTTATTTTAAAGAAATATCTGCATGTTAAAAAATGCATGTAAACAACCATACAAGGAAACCCCTCTGGAACAGTGCTTGGCGACACCTGAGGACTGGAATTGTACCCAGGCCGTTCCTGCGTGCAGGGTAACAGAAGTCACAGGGGACGGAGCTGACTCCTACAGAGCAGAGCAAACCCCAGTTCTGTACATCCTGAATGTGGGCCAGGAAGACCTGGGAGAAGTGGAACGTGATGTTCCATCCTGAGCTGCTCATCCAGGTTGGCTCAGCCGCAATACAAGATTGTAAGCAACTCAATTTAAAAAAAAAAAAAATCTACTCCAAATCCGAGTCATTCTCTCAATATCCATATTGACTGAAATGATCTCAGGGCCCAGGTCTAAGTATAGGATCTGCATTTTTGTACTGGTCATGCGTTCGGTATTTTCTCAGCCTTAATAATTTTTCATGTTTATCAAAAACAGATGCAGCTTAGACTTAGATTTCATTCCCTATTTACCAGGGCTCGTATCTTGCAGATCAGAACATAGTGTTACTGTGACAGAGAGGAAATATAATCCATTTCATAAATATTACCAAATTATTCCAGGGAATATTCAACATCAGGACTGATTTTTAACTTTGCCTTCTAGAATATTTCTCTGAAAGCTCTTTTCAAAGGAAATATTAAATACATTTTTGTTCAACCAAAATCTTTAAGATGAGGATACTTGGCTGTTTTGCACCCTCTCAGTTTATTGGATTTATCTACGATTTTCAGCTTTTAACACGTTGCCATACTGCAAAAAAATCTCCCTAGTCCATTCTTCACTTCTTAAAAAAAGTGATGTCTCAGTTACTGGACAAAAACACCGCTGAAACTATTCCAAGAACAGCTCAGTGCATCTCAGATAATGGCAATAATAATTCAGTTACAAACTAGATCATAATTTATTAGACAACCTTCTCCATTCCATACAATTTAGCAGTCCCTACCCTAATTAACTGATTTGAAATCAAGGTAACTCAGTAGCTGAATCCTTGTAAATGTAGCCTTTATCCTCCCCCTTCCTTCCCACGTGGATATACAAAGGATCACTTACACAAACTGCATTAATATCCGACACGTGCCCTGTGAATGACTGCCTGCACATTCCATCCCGGATATCCCAAAGCTTCGAGGAGGCATCGCAGGCACCCGAAACAAAAGTCCTCATGTCTGGACTCAGGGAGAGGCTCATCACATCTCCAGTGTGCCCAGTGAACGTGGTGGTCTGCTGACCAGTTTCAATGTCCCACAAAGCGCTGCAGATAAAAAGCGACAACGTTAACACCGCGACTGTGATTATTTCAGAGTTCAAGTTTCAAATATAAATCAAGACACTGGAGAGAAGAAAAAAAAAATAAAAAGAAAGACGGGGTGAGGGAGGGCCAACAGAGCTCAAAAACTCACCAAGTGGTGTCTCCCGAGCTAGTGACAATTTGGTTGTCATCTAGGAAGCGACAACAGGACAAGTATCCTAAAAACAAAACAGTTCCGTTAAGTTTCCAACCCAGGAGTAATAACTGCAAGTTTAAAACCCAAGAACAGCATCAAAGTTCTCCCACAGCCAGCGTGTTGCCAACAGAACTATTGCACAGCCCACGACACACCTCAGACCGAGATGGTTCCCTGTGGTGCAGTAAGGAACCAAAGTGGAAGGAGACCATGGCTGACCTGTGTGTCCCGGCAGCTCGCGGCTCACCCGCACGTTCCCCTCCCTGGTTTTCAGGTTGTAGATGGAGCAGATGTTGTCCAGGCCACCACAGGCCACGTAGTTCCCAGAGGGAGCGTAGGCACAGGTCATCACCCAGGAGGATCTCAAGGGAATGGCGTGCATCTTGGGAGAGACGCAGCTCGTGAGGGCACAGACAGCAGCTCATTCTCACCCAGCTCACTCACTCACCACGGGCACTGTGTGCTTCAGCATTTGGATTTAACAGCATATCACAGCTCATTCCATATTTACACTTCCACACACACTGGGGTGACAGATACCAGCGGTATCTGCAGGGCAGACATACAGAACTTCAGCATGACACTACATCATAGCCAAGCTATCCTAAACTTAAACATTTACAGCATTTGTTTATTCTAAATAATTTCTTTGTCCAACTCTTTTACATCTTTGAGCTATAGGTTGGAAGGCAGGATGGCTGTGCCCATGGAGACTGGACAGTTTATGGAAGCACAGCTTTTTTAATTCCTTCTCCTCTCTCTGCCCTGAAAGCCAAAACCGTCCTGTAAATTCTGAGGTTGTGTATTTCTACAATTCAAAACCAAATTAGTTTCAGAAGCAACACCAGACAGGCAGAGAGCAACAGCTATGAGCTACTGCACTGGCAAATTAAGAGTGAAAACGTTACATATTACCAATGTAATTAACTGTTACCAATGTAATTAACTGTTGCTTCAGAAACACACCCTACAACACATCACTAGTAATCAGCTAGTCGTGACAGAACAAAACAATTATGTCTGAATTAGAAACACTGCTGCTTTTAATTTTTGTCTTGCAACCACAGAAAAAAACAGACACAAGCCTTCTCACACAAATCATACATTAACTGTAGATAAAGATTAGGAATAAGTACCTTATTTGTTGTATAACTATCCCAAATAATTAATTTTCCATCTTGAGAAGCGCTGACTAGTAGCCTAAGTACAAACACAAAATAAAATACGTTAATATAAAACAAACCCCAAAAAATCTCAAAATATACATATATCATTCATGATTACCAGGTGATGCAGAAGTTTCATAATTTCTCTATTACCCTCTGCTTTTTCTTTTTCACTGGAGGGGTGCATTTGTTGGGAAAAGTCTGCAAAGATGCGGATCTACACATGACCTGACTGAAGAGTCACATGTCCCACAGGGGCTCATGATCAGCACTGAACACAACCACACAGCTTGGTGAAAACGCATTTCATGAGCTCCCTCCACAGCTGCTTTCGTTGTTCACATACTAATATTCTAACTACACAGTTACAAAAAAGCAAATAGGGAATCTGAATGAAAATAAATCTGCAGAGCAGAGTCCAGATGTATTCCTCTCTGGACAACATGACAGAGACACGAGGCAGTGTTACCACCTGACCACCAGTTGCTTTAAAGGCAGTGCAGCAAAATACCAACTTTCCCCACTATGTACAAAAGGATCTTTTTTTCAGTGAAATAAAATTGGTCCGTGAAGTTTTTAAATCTTTGTTATCACAGCAGTTCCATCTTTATTCAACATCTTGGAAAATACAGTGCCCAGCATTCCAAAAATATGCCTCACCACGTACTCTCCTCTGCTTAAACAGACTCAAAAACGTAGTTAAAATTGAAAGAAGGAAAAGGGAAAATAGCCATGGTAAGAACAAGCCAAATATCTCTCCTTTCAGCCAAGGCTCCTCTATCACCCCTTTGCAGTTTTAAGATGGCAAACTATAACTAAAGCCAAAAAACCTGGGATGCCCCTGCAAAGGCACCAACATCACTCCGTAAGGCTCCCCAAAAACCTGACATTAAACCTGAAGCTGACAATCTGATTTCCAACCCTTAAATTGCAGGTTGAAGCCTCCCCTGTACCAACCTTGAGTCAGATCCCCAGTGCATGGCATAGATTTTGGCTAAGTGACCTCTGAGCGTGCGCCGGGTCCGCATTTGGATCCGACCCACGGAGTCCAGACTTGTTGTGATCTAAAAATAAATCAAACAAACCCCCGAGATACTGAGAACTATTTTTAATGCACGAGATAACAAAAATACATGTGAACTTTGATAGAACATAATCTGTCTTGGCTCACAACAAAATCGAACAAAAAAAGGCCACTGTTGCACACCCAGGATTAGGTCCCTGCAACACTGACACAAACAGATTTTCCAGGGACAGACTGTAAGACTCTTCATGATGGCTACACCTGAAACCTCAGGAAAGCTTTTTAAAACACTGCTGTGTAATAGTGGGGCTATCTCACATTATCAAATCTGAAAGTTTTCAATTAAAACCCAGGAAAGAAAATCCTCCAGTATTTACCGCACTGTTACTTTTTAAAGCATGGCAGAACTTTAAATGCAAAATCTTTTGTTTCCAAAATACAGCTAACAGATATTCATTTAAGTCTTTCTAAAGACATTAAAGAAAATAAACATACTCTATTTAAAAGGTGAACTGGAAGCAGGATGCATTAAGTTGCTGGGGGGTTTTTGACTGGTTGGATTCTTTTCCTGTTTTGTTTATTTGGGGTTTTTTGGTGGTATTGTTTTGTTCTGTTTTAAATAGCTGTATAAATAGACAGTCCATTTCCAAAGGTTTCTTTCACTTCATTCTTTCAGTTACTGAACAGGAACATGCAACAGTCATAAAATAGTATTTTTATTTTTTTTTTAATCTACTAAGTAACAGCCTACACAAGGAACCAGGAACATACCTGAGCAAGAGTTGTGTCACTGCATGCTTTCCTGGCATCCTGAAACAGAAGAATGGAGCAAGTTGAATTGGAAAGGCAACACTGAGCATCAACTGAGAGAGTGTCTAAGGGAAAAATAACTCAAGTTAGGCTCCAACACACTCAAAAAGCCACACACCACCACGACTGACACCCCAGACACCTTCTGTCACCCTAACTGGTTGGATTGTTCAGGGATCTAAAGCACTGGCACACAACTAGGGGTAGTGGAGGAAAAGGGACTTAGGAAGGGCTGTGCCCCAGCAGCCTTTGAATCTCCCTTTCTACAGACTATGGGATTCAAAGGCACTTGGAGCCATCCTGAAGTCCCAGTGCCTACCCTTTTCCCTGTATTCCTTCCCTGGGGTGGATGTGCTTGCTCAGGGTGTGCTGAGCACAAGGGCAGAACTGATCCACCTGGAAAAGCAACCATATATGACACATGATTAGCAAGCTCTGTGCCACAAGAGGCTGTACATTCATTACCAACCCCCTTGGCATCGCAGGGGTGACAGTGCCAGAGGGAGAGGCAGGATGGAAATCAAGAGGCAGGATCTGAGCAGGACAGACAGCAGGATTACCAAAGCTTCACCTGATGATGGACTTGATGCAAAATGAAGGGAGAAAAAGAGTCTGCTAATGCCTTCACTCATTTCATGGAATGGGTGGTGCTCAGCTCTCCATACAGACATTCCATCTATTTTCCTTATTTCAGACTGCATGGACATACAACTTATTTTCTGCACATGATTCAACCTGACCTAAAACCAGACTTTCCTTTCATTCACATCATCAGTCACAGACTGAACACCTGACACGGTTGAGCACCACTGAGCCTGGTCCACAACACTGATTTTGCAAAACCTGGTTTTAGTTACAGCTGAGACTGCACTGCCCTCCTGCAACTCGGGCCCTGAACTTGAAAAACTGAAACAGGCACATGGTCAGCAACTCCTTCTAAGAAACCTGGCTTAAAACTGGCTTAAAATTAGACAGGAATTCTGTAGCACAATTGAAGTTAAAACCATCGACAGCCCAACTGAAGGACCAAGCCACAGAACCCTCCTGAACTCCTGTGATTTCTCCAGTCTCCCAAAAACGATGGTTTTCACCACACATTTGTGTGTCCCCCTCACCCCACCCCAGTTCAATCTGTGCACAAATGGCAACGTCCTCTCTGAGAGGAGAGACGGAAACATTTACTCACACATTCTGGAACTGCATCAACACATTCAGACCAGGATCTTAAATTTTTTTTCAAGCTCTTGCTTGAGAGTTACTTGACATTGCAACTTTAACATTTCTTAAGTGCATGTTTATTTTGACCACCCTTTATAGCTCTCCTCCCAAAAAGCAAGCCTGAGAGTGGATTAAGTCATCTCAACTTATTTTTATAATGTCTGAACTGTAGAAATATTTACAAAATGTTGACGTCTGGAATCAGGAGGGGTTTAAAATACCAGAGCAGCAAATCCCTTAGCACTCAGGACTTATTTCAGCCACAGGAAGAAACACACTGGATATTAAACGACTTTACTTGTTTGGTTTAGCTGAAATACTTAAAGATGTTCAACATAAAATGATTTCTCAACGCAGTCTGAATGAGACAAAGCATTTTTTTCTCTTTAAGGGAGAGCTATTAGCAACACCTCTCCTTGAGGCTGTCTAACACTTGCCACACGACTGGCAAAGTTGCAGGAACAGGAGAGTTTCAACAGACTGTTTTAATTCTTACACTGAAACTGTCATTTCTGCACGAGCACCATCGTGACAGAATCATTAGTGTCAAAAGGTAAAAAAGCTCCTCTATGTCATTGTAGATTTTCTCAGTTCATGCAGTAGACAATGCAAAATTTGTGAGAAAAATCTACCTGCTTGATCAGTGTGCAGCCCCCACGATTTCTAAGCACACACACTTCAGATTACATTTTTTTTTCCCCAAAATTCATGGATTTTTTTAAATATAGGGTCTTATTTGTTAAAAATGTCTCATTCAAATGACACTGTGTCAAGTAAGCAGCATTTCCAAAAAATCATTATCCTCAATTTCAGTTCTCAAAGTTGAGGACACACATATCACATGGGAACTTTTATTACAGAGAGAACTGGGAATTAACTTGACCCATAAACTCATCTGACAGATCTGATAGTTCAGCGTTCAAACCTCCTGCACAAAAAATTCAGGCAGTCTTAAGTTATTCTTCCAACACTGTCTGTGTACAGAACTGAGCTACAGCTGCAGTTACTGCATGGGGAGACACAGGTACCCACATCACCAAAACACTGGGGAAAAAAAATTCAAAATCATTAAACATTTCGAAAATACTGCAGACTAAAAAAAGGGGAATGGACAGTTATGCACTGCAGTTTGTACACTTGAGGAAGGTGGTAGGTACAATCTGATCTGGACCTCACTTCTAAGCACAAAGGTGATTTTTGTGATTATATTGTTAGAGGAAATATCAGACAAAACCCAAGACCTGTAAACAACTAAGACAGCAAAATTCTAGCTACATATAAAACATCAAATGCTGGTAGTGACCTCACCTATTTTAGGAGTGCATCAAATATAACTTTTGAAAATTACCAGCCCAATAGTTCTCGACACTTTAAAAAAACTTTTTTTTTTTTAAGCTCCTGTATCTATCCTCTTATCCATCCCAAACAAACACCTATTTAGAAAAAAAAAAACTGTGCCATGATTTAATAAGCAAGATGAGCAGTGATCTATAAAAATATGAAACTGAGTTATTTGGTCAGAGTGTTTCTTGGATATTAAGTCACCAGGAGCATTTGTGAAGTGCATATTCATCTGAAGTGAGAATTAAGCATAAGGTATCCAACCCTGCACTCAGATCCAAAGAGGAATCCCTAATTGCCACTGCTGAGCCAAAAGACTCCAAAGACAGTACAGCCCTGGTTACTCAGCTACCCCTGACAGATCCAGTTACAAAGTCGGGTGACAGAGTTACAAAACAAATGTTAAATTGACATAAAGCCACAAAACGGAGTCATTTTACAAAGGGCCAATCAGATTTTTATGCTCCAAAATTTAAAAAAGAGGGAGACTTCCCTGCAGCACAGTGGAGCTCTCTTACATGCCTGGTAGCTCTTCCTTCACACAATTTTGAATAAAACATAAAACCAGTCTGACTGACTACCAAGACTGAGCAAAGACTTGACTGGCTCACCCTGATGTCATGTAATGACAAAGTCTTCACCCATCAGGCAGAGAAAGAACTGACAAATTATGTCCAACTTTTATTTGTGCAATGCTGTTATAAAGCTTCAATAGATTAAAAAAAAAAAATATTTTAAACTAAAATTTATTTGTGTCCTCTACAGAGCTGCTGGAAGGGGCACCCAGTGCCACAGCACTGACTGACTCCACCCTTGTCTTTCCAGGGTGTTTTAAGTGGAATCGATGGGACACTGAATGAGCAGCAGCCTCAACACAACTCCTGAAACATGAAGGGTGTTCTCCACATGGCTGACACCAACAAGCAGCCTCACACTAAGCAGGAGACACCACACAACAACTGCTGCCAGCAGATGCCACGCTAAAAAAAGTCAGTGTGCAACATATTCCAAGAAACCTGCACTCCTCGCTGATAGGAATGCTTGCAAATAAGGCATTCCCATATAAATCAGGTTTATGGATGGTTCATGTTGAGAAAATTTTGATTAAAAATAAACAGACTTTGAATATCCTTATTGTACTTCGTACTTTCCTGAAAACTGCATCACTGAAATGTACAGGCATGTTGCAACTCACTCCTGGAAAACTGACTTTGGGGATGACAGCTCATATTTGATTTATCTTCAGTGAGTAAATACAACAAAAAATTAGAACATATGGGGGGATCAGCATTTTTAAAAAAAAAGTAAATTCAACGGGAAGCAAAGAAATAGGGCCTGAGAAATGATAACCCTGGATAACACTTTTAGCCCAGAACAAGCTTTTCTAACACTCTAAGTGTTAGAAAGTTCTATAAGTTTCCTGCTCCCCTCTTGTTTTAAAAACCCAAAATAAACAAAAGAATTGCAGAGACAAATACACTCCTAGTACCAAAACTTAAAGAACTTCAACAAGAAATAAAACATATTGTTCAAGAAATACTAAGAATGCATTTCATTATACCATTGTCTCTTCTGATTTTTAAACAAGTACCCTAAAAACATTTTAAGCGCTGCACAACTTAAACAGATCTGACGTGATCTTTACAATTTATTCCCTTAAAGGAGGGACTCTGTAATGAAAAATAAGCAATTAGCAATTCTCACTCTGATTTGGTTTCGCAGCTGCTCTGCCTCCTGCCGTAACTGTTCCAGCTCACTCATCTTCTTCAGCCTCTATTTCTCACACTCCACTGGTGAAGAAAACCTGCCAATAAGAGGGAAGAAAAATAAGTTTCAGTATCACTTTCTCCTCTTAAAAAAAAAAAAAAAAAACAACACCCCAAATCCTCCACAAACCTATATTTATATATATGTTTATCTGGCCTTTGGAAAGGCTTCAAAATAGATGATCCCTTTAGTACACTGTCTTTAATGAATTTGGCAAGACTTAAATGATTTCAATCCCTGAATTACCATGAGAAGTAGAATTAAGTGGAGTCTATTTTGAATATAGAAGCATCTGTCAACAGAACCACCCACTGTCCTTTAAGAACCTGCTTTGTGGCATGGGCTCTGCTCACCCGCCCGGAAAATCCGTCACAAATTCTGTGCCCCAAGATGGCAACAGAGAGCAAAGGCTGCAGGTCCCCTCAGCATTCACCTCTGGGCTCAACAGGGGTGGGATACTGGCACCTTGCACAGGACAGCCAGGGCAGGCTTGGTTTTAATTGCAGATGAAATTTCTGAATCACTGACTGCAGCTGAAATAGCAGGCTTTCTCCCATTTTTCCCGTATTTTCCCTGGGCAAGGCACAACGACGTTTTCATTTCAAAGGCCCCCATGCAGTGAGAAGGGATAGCAAAGACCGAACCATCCCTAAAAGCATCCTCGTGCTGGTACAGCCCTCAGCTGCCCAAAGCAGTTCTCATCTGAACGAGGACTCAAAGCAACCTCAATAAAAAGATCCATTAACAGTAAGACTTCATGCAGGCACACTTTCAGGTTAGTAATTTTTTTTTTTTCAAATCAGATTTTGGGTCAGATTTTTTTCAGTGTGTTGAACAAAGTTTCCTCAGATCAATTTCCCTCTTTATTCCCAGCACAGCAGTGCAACCACTACAGAGACCTCTGAAGTCTGTTCACACACTGGAGACTTCAATATCCTTGCAGTGAAAGGAACATCAGAAAGTAACTTGCTCACAAACAAGCCAGACACCTATTTGGAATTTTTTCATGATAGGAAAAGCACACCAGGAATGGTGATGGTGGTGGTCCCAGGACATTATCTAAAGAGCCAAACCACTTCTAGTTTATAGAAGAAGACAGACAAAAGTTTGTGAGTACTGCTCACAAAATAAAAATGGAGGAAGGAAGGAAAAGAAGCGGGAAGAAGAACCCATTCAAAACATTATTTTATGTTTGTTATTTAGTCCACTGAAAAATGGCCAAAAAACAGAGGAAGAAGGGTCACAGAGTGTCTGTGAAGTTGTAGGGAAACCCCTTTATTTGGTCTAGATACTGGTTCTTTTTAGTTCAGTAGTGATGTGCTCTGAAAGACTAACTCTGGAAAGCTTTTCTCTATCTATAAAACACAACATTTCATAGACTGAAAAGAGTGAGAAGTTTTGATTCAAAGCAATTTACTAATAAGATAAACACCCTTGGATTAACAGCTAAACAAGTGTTTGAGAGATACAAAATTTCTGGCTACTCAAGAAGAAAAGTATCTTCATTAATCATCCATCTACTCCTTCTGTCAATCTGAACCTCACTGCAAAGTCCATTTCAGAACAAAGTCACAAACAGACATAAGTTGGATCATCTCCAGATCAAAATACATCCAAACCAGTAACAGAAGTGCTGATTTAGGTCTAACTAGTATTTCCAGCCGTATGTAAACAAACTATGAGGTTTTCCTTCCTTAAACCTGTGCTCTGTTCAACTACAAAGACATTGTAATTCACATGTGAACATTAGACTACTTCATTTACTACCATGTTCCTATTTTCAGATGCCCAGACTACTTAACATTACTTAATGCACAGCAGGTATAACATAAAAGTCATCAGCACTCATGCCTGATTTTAAAAATTAAGCATTAAAAACATCCCTTTAGCACACACATTTAATCACACACCTTTGAAGTCTATTGAGTTTAATGACAATTTAATACATTTAGTGGGTATACCTCTATGAAATATAGCCCCACTTTCAGTTCTGACAGTGTCAAATTAACTTTTTCACTGTGATTTTCCTTTTTTTAACCTAGACCCTACTCAAAGGTAACACAGACAAAACAATGGTCTCAAAGGTCTTCAGCCAGCCAGCCGTGCTGCCTGCCAACCTTAAGTAGTCTTGTGTGCTATTTTTAACAGAAGATAAAGATTCCCAACAGAGAAGTTGATGTGTCTCTATTTTTCTGAGAAGGGAAGTCTGCCTCTGCCCTGTGATGTGCCACACACTTGAGTGCTCTGTAAACAGTCACTTCAACACAGGGAATTATTGACCATAAAGACAGCGACACTATTCCCACCTGGAATCATGCATGGCCACTCACAGCCACCCAAGGTCAGTTTTTTTTTTTTTTATTCATAGGTAAAACCATGAGCATGTTAGGAAATGAGCTGTAGCACTGCACTGGCACTCCGAGTCCATCAATGACCATCCTGCACTTCAGCCACGAAGTCGTTGTCAAGGACTTTAATGTCACTTTTATCAGCACTGTTCACCATTAATGCCATTCCTGCACCAGCAGCTGCACAGCTGATAAACTTCACAGCTTTAAATTGTGTTACACTTCTCCAAGTTCCTACATGGACAAAACCCCAGCTCCAGAAGCCTTCTCACCCACCCACACACCTTTAGCTGTAATTCTGAAGCAAATAAAAGTACAATGATCTTTCATACTTTTTGAAATAATTTTTTTTTTTTGGTAGAAGAAAAGCCCTAGTAGCACCACTATGTTTTAAATCTGCAAGACCTTAGCATTGCTGCTCAGCAGAAACGTGTCAGTGGTTCAAGGTCAAGCTATACCTCAGTGAACAGAACGGCCTTCAAGCCAGCACATATTCCCACAAAATCCAGGTTCCTTTTAGAACTGGATTACTCTAGCTCTGAGCATTAAAGTTCTTTTCCAGTATGCAGCAGCTGAACAGCAAGCTCTGAGATATTCTTAAGCTATGTATAAACACCAGGATACTACAGTAAACAAACTAAGTGCACAGTTTAACTATTAAATTGAAGCTCATCCAACCCTGTTGCACTGGCTGGCGGCAGTTCCTGACGAGAAGGTCTCTGTGCTCAGATCATTCCCCACCACGAAGTATTCAGCAGAACTGGGAGAAAGATGCTTCCACTTGGGATTTTTACTTTTTTTCTTTTTTTCAGTACTACTTTGATGTGCCCACAGGAAAGTACAGAAACTGAGTGGGCAGGGAGGAAGCTCTCACAGATGCCTTTCCAGATTCACACTAACTCTGCAAGCAGCATCTCTGAACTCCAGTCAAACTCCCGACTGATGTCAGCAGAATCACGACAGCAACACAGGAAGATAAAACACCTGCTTGGATGTCTGGAACTTGGGGATGCACCTGTGCCTGTTTAATACTTCTGATGCTACAGTGACAAAGAGCTAGTTCTGTCCATAGACCATAGGCCAGACTAGATTTACGTGCTGTATGTTTATAAGTGTATCAGTGAAGCACAGCAAGAACTCAGACCTGAGATGCCTGGCAGCACTGGCCAAGCAGAGGCTGCATCCTATAAACCTGTCCTCAGTGCAGAAAAGCAGGTCATCACCACAACCTCGAAGTGTGCTATTTTCCAATGCTACCAGGAATCAGATAAACAACTTGGTTTTTATCAGATTAAATGCTGGGACTGCTTCTGCAGGGCTTACAGGGATTGCCAAGAACAGAGGTCATCTCTATATTGCAGTTTTTTCCTCATACAAATTACTGAAAATCTCAGTGGATTCAACACAAGCCCCAGGTGTTGCACCAGGTTACAAAGGACACATGCCTGTTCGTTCTCCTCTCCAGGAAGATCAAAATACTACAGCCAGGAAGGAGCACAGTTTCACAGTCTGGGGAAAAAAAAATCTTTATTCCAAATATTAATTTCCCCAGGAACCCTCAGTCATGTACATAGCAAAGCCACCAGCTCTTCCACCTGTATGGGTAGAAGGAGTGAGGCTTCCTCCTGCCACCTCAGGACACTGGGGTAATGTAACGCCTACCTCCCTGACTTATTCATACTTTTAATAAATGTTGAGTCAGAGAAAAAATACTCTGATTTCCCTTAGATGCAGATCCCTAGTGTTATCTGTTTTTCAGCATCCAGAGGAAGAACCTCTGATGAAGAGGCAGATGCTTCTCTCCAAAGGCATTTCACGATGTGCACGATGGACTGGGAACAGCATCTCCTGCTGTGGCAGGGAGGCCTTGAGGGGACGAGCAACAAGAAGGGGAAGAAATTTTTAATACATTTGGTAGCCAGGGGTGTTACCGTGGCAGGACACCCAAGGCATCAGAAAAGGGGGTCAAGGACACGAGATGTTTCCTTCAGAAGCAACAACACAGGGAGCAATAACCACTGTGTAGCCAAGGCAGCCATCTCTGCCCTCAGCCATCTGCAGGCTGAACTGTCCCTCGGTGCAGTTTCTCCTCAGTGGACTTGCTCAAGTGAATTTACTGATCAAAACAAAGTGCCTCATGAGGCAAAATAATTAACTAAGCCAGATTCCACTGCATATCTAGTGTCAAGGAAGCCACTGGCAGGCTTGAGTCTTCCACAGATAAATTACCCCTTGCACTATTCCTGCTTCAGTAGCAACACCATTTGCTAAGAGTTAAATTCTTCATTATACAGGCAGGCAGTGACAAATTACCACAGTTTCTTGTCTCCAAAATACTTTTTTTTACAAACTGTGGACTCAGAACATTGTGGTTGGAAAAAAACCACCCTTTTCTCTGCAAAAACTCACTCCAAATGCAACTGAGCTCACACTTTGAGTAGATTCACCCCTGTGACACCCCAGCAGGCAGCAGGGCAGGACACAGTGCCTACACAAGCTGGGATGTAGGGAGTTCATCAGACAGGACCTGCTGACCCCATGGCACTGGCACAGGGACCAAGAGCTGATGGAGTTCTGGAAAGCCAGGAAATAGGCTGGTATTTGCAGGTTACTCGAAGCAGAATAGCCAGGCATGTAGTGATAGGAACCTTTAGTTCTATTTCTAGTATTTCTGTCTCAGAGAAGACTACAGTTTACAAACTAAGTAATTTAGATTCTTAAAAATAAAAAAAAAGTATTTAAAAAAACAGGCACTTTCACATGCCTGGGCAAGCTTAGCCTATTCCCCTGTAAAATCACCATACACACAGGAGGGAAAAAAAATTACTAGAGAAGTGTAAATACGCCCCTCCCCACAAGAAAGCATTGCTATTTTTGTGCCAAATATATAGAGATTAAAGGGACTGTAGAAAGAACAGTCTGTCTGACTAGATTATTAAGAGCTATCAACTAAAGAGCTGTTTGGGTAAGAATTGCATTTTGTACCAAAAAATCAGTCCTCTGGAACTGAAATTCGTGCTTACCTATACGTATCAACTTTAGTTTTTCGACTCATATACAGCAAGATCTCACAAGTGATCAACAGATAGCAGCAGCAGGAGAGGCTTCACATAACTTCCATGTGATCCTCCCTACTAGTGATCACACAGGTGGCTAAACATAAGGAATGCTAACTACAGCACCTTACTAATTATAGGAAAAAGACACCAAGGCATGCTCCAGCTTTCTCTCAAAGGAGATAAATTGGTAAGTCACACATATTCAGGTTTTGAGCCCCAAAACTTTTATATGCTGAAGTTGCTTGTGTAAATTTACCTGTTTGTGTCCTGTGAGTGGTGACAGTGTTTGCAGGGGTGGACAGTGGGGTTCTGGCTCTGAAGCTGAGCCCTGCCAGCACACACAGACCAATACTTCATGTATTCAGGATGTGCCAAAGAAGGTTTTCATAAAACACTTCTTCGTTTAGTACTAAACAAGACTTTGGCAGCTTTGCCCACTCATTTATGTCTCCCCAAACCCAGGAATAGAGAAGAAAAACAGAGAGAGGTTTTATTTCTTGCAGCCTGAAGGGGATGTGTTTGACATACTGGGGGAAGGTTCAAAATCTACAAACCTGGAGATGGTGGATAAAGCCTTGTATAAAGTGAAATCTCTGCCTGCACAGCAGTCACTTAAAGCAAATGCATTAATGCTGTGCTGCAGTTACAGACCTTCATATAGAAAGTCTTTCAGCTGGAATTTTACATAATATATTTTCTGCAGTAGAGCTGTTGGAGGACCACACACACACACACACACACACTCAGCTCTCCACTGAGGAAAATGAACCATGTAATGGCCTTTTTTACTATCCCTTGGCCCTATGTTGTCTCTCCTGTTTCTCAAAGAGACCTTTCCAGCTATCCATTTTCCCAAGCGTCCTTTGTTCTGATTTGTAGCTGTACTGCATCAATAAACAAAGACAACAAAGCAAGGAGCTTTTATATTGGTCAACTAATACTTGAGTAACAGCAGAGAGAGGCTGGGATAAGCTGAAATAACAGTATGTAGGGGCTGCAATTGTGCCATTGTGTGCCTTGCTCTTATTCTCTCCTCTCAAACCTCTTCAGTTCATCTCCTTCCTTTCTTTAATGTATACATTTGAGGGGAGCACTGGTTACAGAACATCTTACACACTTCAGTAGAGAATAATGATTATTCATTTAAAAACGGTTACCATTTATAAAATAACCCTGGAAATCCTAACAGAATATTTTCCCTAAGTTATTTTCATTTTAATTCTGCAAGATGGAACCAATTGTCACTGTGATTTCAAGCCCTGGGCACATGCACAGGAGAGTTCTCCCATATTCAGGGCCTCTGGTCTCCCCAAGAAGAAAACAGGAAGCAGCCTGGGTGTGACCTCGCCCGCTGAGGTCAGCGCTATTGTTGCACTTCTGCACATTTTGGAAGTGTTTTAAAGTGATATGTCTCCATTATAGCTTTGGTACAAAAACAGGAAATAATCAACCAACGCCTCTCGAGAGGAAGGGTATGAGCAGAACTTACTTAGACACCCATTTCTCCAACAGACACCGTCCCCAGTTTTAAGGCAGAGAGGAATGTGTGTGCACAAAACTGAATGTACAGCTGGAAAGGAGAGGACACAAGAGAGACTCACAAGCAAACAACGAATTTGAGATTTGAGATTAGGATTTGAGAGTGTTCCCTCTTCATGTGCCCACCTGCCCCGTGCAGTTACATCAGGAACACAACCCCACCCACCAACTGGGTGGCAGAAGCAGTTTCAAGACAACAATATTGCTCCTTCCTCCCTTGGCCAAAACACCTCGTGCCTACACATCACAAACATAAATATGTGCCACTTGACACACACGTAGCTACTCAGCTGGTGATTTTAGTCTGACTTTGAAACAAAGCCTGCCACATCAAAACACTTCCATTTACCGTAATAACTCCGTGGAGTTGTGAACAGAAGTAATTTCGATGACACAAATACAAACATCTGTGTTCACCTTCAGACTTCAGTGCTGTAAGGATCAACCTCTGGTGTATTTCAGTCACAGAGGTGGGTTTGATGACTGGTTTTATTACGGTTGCCATGGAAGACAAACAGACCGATAAATACTGACCTTGTTAACAGCAGTCACAAAACAGACAAAGGAAATCACAGTTGAGAAGTTTGAGTGAAATAATTCTCAAGTTTGCTAGTAAAAAACCATCAGTAACTTCTGACTTTTACCCTTCTTCATGCAGTAGGCTGACATTTCATGAGACTGCTGTCTGAAGCTCAGAGGTTTGAGAGTTTATTTCTAAAACCCAACTGAAAGTCTAAGCCAAGTACATTCATAAAACAAATAGAAAGCCCCTACTCTTCCTTGCCCACACACACTAGATTCTATTTTAAAAAAAGCCAAGAAATTCAGTGTTAAGCACAAGGCTGAGAAAAGCACAGGAAGGAAGGAATTTTTAAAAGTCATGAATATTTCACAGTCCAAAAGAGTGATTTTTCCAAAATTAACATTTTTGCATCTTATGCTCATTATGTTTGTTTCCAGGTCGAAATGTTTTGGTACATAAGAACAGATTTATTTTTATCACACTCCCTGCAAACAGAACTTCATGTGAAATTCAAATTATCTTGTCTTCAGTGACTATAATAACGACTCCCCAGTAAA